AAAGGTTAAGTTGGCCGTTCTCAAGTATTACAAGGTTGACGAAAATAATAAAATTACTCGGCTTCGCAGGTAGGTTACATTCAAAGTTCAAACGAATATACTATACAAATTAATTTTCAAATGGCGTTTTCTTTATTCTAGGGAATGCCCAAACCAATCATGTGGTGCTGGTATTTTCATGGCGTGGCATTATGATCGTCAATATTGTGGAAAGGTAACAAACATTAAAACTTTAATTATTATTATTATTATTTATTACATTAATAATATTGAGTGATCCCGATTTGTTGCATGTAGTGCGGGCTAACGTACGTTTTCAAGAAAGAAGATGCAGAGGCTTGAAAAATTCATGATCATAAAATTGAATACGATGTTATAGGCGTCTTATTTTTTTTCTTTAATTATTTGATGTTCCCTTCTGGCCTTCAAAAGGTGATGGTGAAAACGCATCGAGATTATACGATAATAATTAATCGTAAGAATTGAAATTCAGATGACTTTGATTAAAGATACAAATTGCTTCCCAACATGACAATATGGAATATTTATTAAGATCCCACAAAAAAAAATTAACATTATTGATTATTATTAAATAACGATGCATAAAAAGTAATATTAAATTATTAACTAAGAATTAGGATTACTAGGGTTTAACTTTTCCTGATCATCATCTTCAGTTACAATTTCATCATAATCTTCAACAATACTTTCTCTACTTTTTTCACTATCATTGATCTCAGAAGAAAACATTTGATTCCCGTCTTCCGACCCATACTTTTCTAGAAATCTTCTTTTTGCCTGTTCCACTGCCATCGACATTTTTAGGTAAATGTACCATGCAGCAAAGGCGAATAAAGACAATCCAACCGCAATAGATACGTAATTAATTATACGAGATGTCTGATCCATTTCCACAGAGAGATTCCGAAATCTCGAACCAATGAAAACAAGTATCAACAATTTTACCAAGCTGATGGCAGTGGCAAGAAAGAAACTTCGAAAGCTAATAGATTGAACTGACGCGAAAAAAGCATTCGAATAAGGATAAGGAAACGGTGTCAAACGCAGTAACAGGATGAACTGTGATCAAACAAAAAAATTTTCGAGTCTTAATTACATTAGTAAAATGAAATGACAACGGATGTGTAAAACACTCAAACCTTGAATCCGCCTTCTTCAATAGCCATTGATAATTTCTTAAAATTTCCTCCCTTGTTTGCAAGCTTTCTAGCGTACCCGATACATAGGGAGCGACATATGCTTATTTTTTGTACAA